GTTGAGATGCTTATGTAAATAGCTTTGCTGACTTGTAGAGAGTACATAGTCATTTTCCTTTTTAAAATATAATTTGTAAAAAGAGTAGTGAAAATCTAAAAATAAGACATTTTCTCATGAAAAAAGAAAAAAAAAGGATCAGCGAGACAAAGGGGAATGTTCTTTTCATCTGGAAGCCCTATTAGAGGAAAAAATATGAAGCTTGAAGAAAAGAACAATAACAAAAATGTAGCCTCCCGATAATAAGAGAATATTAGGAAAACACATTTTTTTAAAGACTTACATCATTTCGTAGGAGTAGAATCCATGTTATTGTCAGTGGAGCCTTACAACCTTTACCTTTATGCAGACCTGTTGTATTGAGTGACACTTGCCACATGAACTTGAGACATTTTATACTTTGCTTTATGGTTAGTTGATTGATTGATTATAATTTATTGTGCTTAGAAATTACTTATTATTTTTTTTAAGTTTCTTTCATGCATGTGCTTGTGCTTGGATATATTATTAGGCTCTTAGTAAATTTTTTTTTTATACTCATAACCAAATAAAAATTTTAAGATAACATAGAAGTATAATCTTATTAGAAAATAAGCTAGAGCTTATCTGGGGTCATAGAAAGAATATCCATCCTTCTTTCTTTGTTAGGCTGAGCCCCACATGCGAGTAGAAGTAGACCATTCAACTTATGATGGTGCAGTTCTGACTTAGGGGAGTTCTAGTTTTTTAGAATAAAATCTAATTTCTAAGCCTTTTTAAGACTTCACAGGCTAGTTATTACATAAGAGTCAACTTGCATGCATTGCATTAAAAACAAATTAAAAATAAATTAAATTTAATTGCATTTAGCTTTAGAATCATAATCATCCTTCATAAGTTCAGGGTTACTTATGAATTTCTTTATATGTCATCCCTATATTAAAAAAAAACTTATGATATATTAAGATACTAAGTGTGTTATTAGGAGGTTCACCTCTCCTAAGTAATAATTAACCATAAAGGCCTTCTTTTATGGGGAACATGTAACTCCAAATAAAAATAAACCATATCTTATTTTTATAAGATAAGAGAAAAATCTCCAGGAACGTAAACAATTTTTAAACCTTATTTTTGCATTCAAATACCTTTATAGAATGTCATATTTGTCTTTCAAGGTGATATGGTATTCTCTTTGTTGTATTTTTTTTATAGAAATGATAATTTTTAAAATCTCCATTTTTATCTTTAAATACTATTCTAGAATAATAACATTGCCGTTGCCAGGTCTCAAGTCTTGAATGAGAAAAGTGGAGGTTTGCATTAGGTAGTCGACAGCAAACATAAAACTTGTTGAATAATCATGACATGAATGTCCATATCATTTTGCTTTAGTCATGTATGTTCTCACTAGGCATTTGTAAGAGGATGTACATTCATGTCATATGGTATTCTCTTTGTGCATGCTCTTTCCTGATGATATTCTTCTTGTTGATAAGACTCGAGAGGGAGTTAAAGGTAAACTTGAATTATGGAGGTCAACCATAGATCGAGTCTAAAGGTTTTTGCTTGAGTAGATCTAAAACTGAATATATGGAGTGTAATTTTAGTAGCAATAGAACTAGTGAGGGGATTGTTACTTTGGGCGAACAAGTCATAGTAAGAGTGCACATTTTAGATATCTTGGTTCTATTGTTTAGAGTGATGGTGAAATAGATGGGGATATTATCAGCAGAATTCAAGTTGGATGGTTGAAGTGGAGGAATGCATCAGGCTTATTGTGCAATAGAAAAGTCCCCCTCAAACTTAAGGGAAAATTCCATAAGGTGGTGGTGAGGCCTACATTGCTTTATGGTGTCGAATGTTGGCCATTAAAAGAGAAACATAATACTAAGTTAAGTGTTGTAGAGATGAGGATGCTTAGGTGGATGAGTGGCTTGACCCTTAGAGATAGGATACAAAATGAGCATATATGTGAAAAGGTTGGAGTTGCTTCAGTGGAAGATAAGATTAGAGAGAGTCACCTTAAATGTTTTGGCCACATTAAATGGAGGCCTTCTGATGACTCGGTTAGGAAAGTTGAGGTATTAGATTTGAGTTATATTTTAAAAGGTAGAGGTAGACCTAAAAAGACTTGGCTAAAAATATTAGAAATGATCTTTCTTTATTACATTTAAACTAGAATTTGACTTTTAACAGGACAAAATGGAGGGATTCATGTAGCCAACCCCATGTAGTGGGACAAGGACTTGATGATGATGATGTTGTTGTTGCTAAGGAAGGTGGATGTTGGCCAGAGCAATCATGTGTATACTCTCTCCAACATAACCATAAACTCACAAGGCTTTTCTTCCTCTCTCTCATCTATATATCTCTCTTCAAACCCAAAAATCTCTCTTCAAGTCGTTGATTATAGAAGGAAACCATTTGACTACTAAAGTCCCTTATAAAGTCTATTGAAAAAATTTAAATACTATGCTTAAAAATCTTAATTATTCATATATGTCAACTTGAGGTCATTCAATACAATTCATTCAATAATCCCCTCTTAATATTGTACGATGAATAATATTCAGTATGATTATTTCAAATATTTTACACGATGAAAAAATATGATTCATTCCAAGAATAATATTTAGCATCATGCAAAAATTTTCTTTTCTAAGTAGAGGATAAATCAAATGGAAGCATTCCACTAAACATAAAATTGAAAATATCAGCATACTATGGTAACCTACTCAGATGCAAAGAAACAACTCCTCACAAAGAAAAAATCATTAATTTCAAGTTCATTAGATGCATGTTCTTCAATTATAAGCCTTCAAAGGTGATTAGCAATTTAATTTTCAATTTGTTTCTCTATCTAAATGTCTACATCAAATTCCTATAACAAAAGAATCCACCTCACCAATCTAAATTTGATATTTTGTTTTTCATAAGGTATTTGATTATGGAATGATCAATGCATATAATCATTTTTGTGCCAAACAAATAAAATTAAAATTTATCAAAAGAAAAGCAATGGCTAGTAGTTTTCTTTTTTGTAGTGTTGTAGTTACATTGGGCAACATTCAAAGTTCTACAAGCATAAAAAATGATATGAAATGACTTATCTCACTTTTGACCAAGAACAACACGTTTAGTAAAATCACTTGTATCACACATAACTATAAAAGGTTGGGACCAGTTAGGAGCAATAATAATAGGTGAAGTAATCAAATGCTATTTCAAAGTTTTAAAAGCTTCTAGATATGCAGTATCAAAAATAAAAGGAACAACCTTTCCAATAAAATGACATAATGGTTTTGAGATTTTGGAAAAGTCCTTAGTTAACCTCCTATAAAATCCTGCATGTTGAAGGAAACTCCTAATTCTTTTTATAGAAGTGTGTGTGTGTGTGTGGGTGCGGCCTGGACGATCCTGGGAGGAAAAATAAGTTCTGAGAAGGCAAATCAAAGGAATGAGCTCTCACAATTTCATTGATTTAAGAACATTAATAGTCACTTCTTGATCTTGTACTCTCATAGTCAATTCCTCTTTATGAACATTAATCATCGCCTTTCCACTTATTAAAAAGGGTCTACTTAAGATAATAGGGATTTCCATATCCTCTTTCATGTATAGGACTATAAAATCAATAGTGAAGATAAACTTAACCACTTTAACAAGAACATCCTCTTCCACCCCCTTAGGCTAAGTAAATTACCAAACAATTAGCTAAAGGGTGATAATATTAGATTGAACGTCTCCTACATCTAATCTTTTTAAAATGGACAAGGCTATAAGATTGATGCTATATCCTAAATTTTAGAAGGCTCTACCACCAAGTTTATCTCTAATCATCATTAGAATGGTGATGCTACCATGATATTTCAATTTTTTAAGAAGTTTCTTCTAAATGATAGAACTACACTCTTTTGTTAAAGCTACAGTTTCAAACTCTCTTAACATCCTTTTCTTATTTAGAATATCCTTCATAAACTTTGCATAGGTGGACATCTTCTCTAAGGATTCAGAGAAGGGTATGTTGATAGTTAAATTTTTAAACACTTATAAGAACCTGGAGAATTTCATATCCAAAATTTATTTGATTAGCCTCTGAGGTAAGGGTGGTGGCCTTTCTATGGCCTTCCCAATGGGTCATTGAATTTCTTTAATGGTTTATTTTCTTAGGTGGAAGGTTTATCTTCTATTGGTTCTTCTATATTACTATATTTTTCAGGTTAATCTTTATCCATATGAGGGTCTCCCAAATCTTCCCCACTCCTAAGCGATATAGTATTACATTGCTCTTCCAATTTTTTACTTTTGATTAAACTAGCAAGTTGCCCTATCTGATGTTTTATTTTTTAAAGGGTTATAGATTGATCCTGTAATTATATTCCCATTTGTAATACAAACACTTCTAAAAGTGTCTTTCTATTTCCAAAATGATTTCTTTGATCAAAACATGAGGGGCAATGCAAAAGCATTAAGATGTTAGGTACAATGGAGCTCACACACATAGGATCTATTATAGGATCGATGTAAATATTATGCCTATGTGATCCAGCTCTAACTCCAAAGTCCATTTTAAGTGTTGCGATAATCATTTTTTTGCAGTGACCTAATTATTATTTGGCTCTCTATAAGAGCTCAACAACCCCTTTGCAGTGGATCAACGATGAATTGATGGAAAGCGATCGACTTGTTGAGGGAGCAAGCAATTAAATATGAGTGAGGAGTGCCAATCTCTCGTTTAATAAGCAATTGACTAGATCTATAAAGGCTTTTTATGGGGAGATAAAATAAATAAAAAATTTAAAATAGATATCCTCTTCTTCAACTGGTGAATAGCTATGTTAGTAAATTTTTCTTTTGAATGCAAAAATGTGCTCATGATTTGGGTATTTTTTCATAAGCCACTTCATTACTCAATTGTTTGTTTAACGGGCAATTTGGCATATTTTAAATTTAATAATAATAATAATAATAATATTTATTTCTTAATTAGTACTTAAGCGAGGGTGAATTAAAATCTGTCTCCTACGCCTGAATCGTCTCGTTCGGCTAACTTCAATCATTCTCCGGTAAGGAAGTTATTGGCGGGCATCTTAGGTGGAGGAAGATGGCGGCTAGGTGCTCGGTGGATGTTGGAGGAACATGTTCAAGGCGGGGGAAGACCCACAGTTTTCGCTGTTTGAATGGAATCCGAGCCCTCGCGGAGAGCGGTCGCTTCAAGGTTTGGTTTCTAAGCTGAGGATTTTTTTTTTCTTCTAGGATGAGTATTGCATTTGAATGATGCTCTTTTCTTAGTTTCCAGCTGCCTGAACTTGGCCTTAGAGATCATTATTATTAGTCTTAGCCTACATACATGAAATTGATATGCTGCAAGTTAAATAGAAGTGAAAGATGTCAACAACATAGAAAGGAAGGTTAACCCCCACTTCTATCTTTACCTCACTATATCCTTTTTGAAAGGGATTCATTGCGCGAAATCCCAAATGTCACCTTATTTCACATCTGTCTCTTTTTATGACATTTAAAGCAAATAATATCATTTGTGCTCTTATGGTTGGATTTAGGGAGGGCTTTGTGCTACCGGGCACTAGTGGATGATAAGATAGTCGAGTCTGAGGTAGATGGTTTAGCAGTAGTCTTGAATGTGGAAGTTGAATAAGATGAGATTCTAGGCTTTGTGGAGGGGGTCATTTTTATTTTTGACCAAGGATGATCGAGAATCTTAAAGTCTTATCTTGGTTGATGCCATTCTATTAGGAGTCTTCTAAACTGATCATCCCTAGGTTCAAATCAGATGGGCTATGGAACCTAATTGTCAAATGTTGTAGTTGATTCCTAAGAATTTGGAATAAAATTTTAAAAACATTAAATTTTTCATCAATAGAATTTAATTTTCTTTTTGTGTTTTGATGGAAGTTCATTTTATTTTAAAATATTTTAAATTGATATAAAGTCAAAGATTTATAAGGCATGATATATATATATATATATATTGAATGTGAGAGAGAGAGAGAGAATACGTAGAATAAAATTGAGGTTAAGAGAATTTCTATGAGGGGAGACTGGAACTCTTCTTAAGTAATTTAGGTCTTCTTGACAAAATACTATTTAGCCTTAAAAATACAAAGTTTATCACAATCATTTTTAATCCATGGAAAAGAATTATCTTGGTCTTATGAATTTTATGAGGAAATCAACCCTTTGAAATAGTAATAAATTCATAAAGCTTGCAAAGTTCAAATAGTATTCATAAAAATATAAATTTTAGCTATCTTGTCTTAATTTCTTTTCTAGGTAGGGCTTTTGTTTGTGAAACATACACTTTTATATAACGAGCTTAAAATTTTTTTTGGTGATAATAGCTTGGGTTGGGATTTTTACCTTACAGAGAGCCCCTAATGCTAATGTTTTTTATCAGGAAGCTTCAAGAGGAGATGACGAAGACTTCTCCTTCAGACGTCATGGCTGGAGGAGCACCAGAAGTGTGACTTTGAGCGGAGGGCAAAATCTTATTTGCCGGACTTTGCTCGAGCTCATCGGAAATGATCACCAGAGAGGCTAGGAAGCAAGGGGAGAAGTGCTAGAGCTCTGGGGAGGCTTTTCCAATCGAAAGGTGCTGATGAGGCGCTCTGAGGCAGAGTGCCCTATTCAACTTAGCTCCCATGGTGACAGACGGCCATGATAACACTTTAGAGGCCCTGAATGGCTTCCAGCTAGAGGGAACAGCTGCATAGAGCCTCCTGAGCTCAAAGGAGGCAAGATTAGGCTGAGAAGTCACTAGATTTGGCTCATGTGAGTAGGGGACCACAAGCCATCAGTTTCACCTGCCCTGGCCGCCGCTGGCCACCGCTTGGGTTGGGCTGAGATGGAAAGAAGCCTGAGGAGTTGGTGAGCTCAGGAGTGAGCTCAATTGGGTAGATTATTCGGGTTGGCCCAAACCTGCATGGTTTGGATCAGTTTGGGTCCTGATGTAGGTCTAGCTAGGGGCTGGGCTGACCATGGGAGATGCATAGGGTCATGGACTATCCAATGTGATAGGCAATTGGATTTGATTTGGTCTTAGTTGAGAGTTGGCTCAAGTCAAAGTGGTTTTGACCACTTTGGGCTTGCTTAAGTCTTAGCCTGAGTTGATCCAAGGGTTGGGCTAGCTACAACAGAGGTATTGGATCAAGGAGGACCCAATGCAACCCTTGGTTGGTTTGATTTGCCTTAGGTTGGGTTTTGGTTCATGAAGAGCCCTCTTTAGACACTTGGTTCAAGCCATATGGCTAACCTAAGTGGACCTAAGTGCTGGACCTTCAATGGGACTCCCTTAGGGACTTAATGGGTCACCCTAGCTAGGGCCGTAGGTTGGCTTGGCAATGCCTTGGTGAATGGATTTGAGCTAGGTTAAAGTGTTTGGCATTTGGTCGAATTTGGTTGACTTGGTCAACCAAGTTGACCTAGAGTTTGGGGTTGGGTCCAATAAATTTCAATTAATGATTTAATGCTAGTGGAGGTGCTCTCATGCCATGGAGTGGTCATTTGGTTTGAAAAGCACATTTAAACCCTTAAGGGGCAATTTAGTCAACCATAATTGACTTGATCAACCAAGTTAAACCAAAACTTGGGTTTGATTTCAATGCACTCCTAATGATGTCTAGGATGCATTAGAAAGGGTTTCATGGTTTAGTTTGATTGTGCCATGTTAAAGTTTAGAGAAAACTTCAATTTTCCCCTTAAAGGGATATTTTGGTCATTTGGGCCCTGGTAAACTTTGGGTCAACCAGGGTCCACAAAAGTTCAATTATGGTTTAACATATCATAAAAATGATTATAAACATGTTCAAAGGTTTTGGGGAAGGTCCCGAGGTCAAATTCCACAAGATACAAGGTCTAGTGGTATAGGTTGTAAATATTTGAATGTTGTGCGGCCTTTTGATTTTAAATGAGTTTTTGGGGTTAAAGGGCTCAAATTGGCTTTAAATTTGAAGGGTTAACCCTATAGACATGGCTAATCAATATGCAACTAAAAAATCATGAATCCAAGGTCATTTGGTTTTGCTTTGAAGTTCTAGAAAAATCACCCAAAAAGGGTTATGGGACATGGGCTTTTGGCCTTTATTTTTTGTTTAAGATTTTGGATTTGATCTTAGTTTTGGATCTGGTTTTTGATTGATGAACCTCATGCAGTCTACAATGCAGCAGCTGTTACTTGTGTTCAAACACAACATGGTTAGATCAAGTATTTTCCTATTTAAGTTGGATTACATCAAGGATTAGCCTTAAGCTCATAAATTTTTTGCTGTAGTCATGGATGTTCTCACTAAACATTTGGAAGAGGTTGTACCCTGTTGTATGCTTTTTGCTGATGATATTCTTTTTGTTGATAAGACTGGAGAGGGAGTTGAAGATAAAACTTGAATTATGAGAGGTCAACCTTAGATTCTAAAGGTTTTTGTTCAAAGTAGATCTAAAATCGAATATATTGACTGTAATTTTAGTAGTAATAGGTCTAGTGGGGGGATCGTGACTTTAGGCAATCAAGTCATTAATAAGAGTACATAGTTTAGATATCTTGGGTCTATTGCAAAGTGATGGTTAAATAGATGGGAATATTATTAGTAGAATTCAAGTTGGATAGTTGAAGTGGAGGAATGCATCAAGCTTGTTGTGTGATAGAAAAGTCCCCCTCAAACTTAAGGGAAAATTCTACAAGATGGTGGTGAGACCTGCAATACTTTATGGTGCAAAATATTGACCATTAAAAGAGAAGCATAATATTAAGTTAAGTGTGACAGAGATGATAATGCACAGATGGATGAATGACTTTACTCTTAGAGATATTATATGAAACGAGCATGTACATGAAAAGATTGGAGTAGCTCTTGTGGAAGATAAGATTAGAGAGAGGCACCTTAGATAGTTTGGTCACATAAAACGACGACCTTTCGATGACTTGGCTAGAAGAGTAGATGCATTGGATTTGGCTTATGTTAAGAATGGTAGAGGTAGACCTAAAAATATTTGGTTAGAAAATATTAGAAATGACCTTTCTTTATTAGATTTAAATGATAATTTGACTCTTAACATGACACAATGTGATGATTCATGTAGCTAATCCCACGTAGTGGAATAAAGGCTTGTTGTTGTTGTTGTTCAATTAATCAAACTTTATCAAAGAGCATAGTAGACAGTTCTGAAGAAAGCCAGAGTGAGAGGGGACGTCATTTTTCCTATAGCCTGGGTTGTAGGTCAAATAAGGGGTGTTTTGGTTTGGAGGGAATTTTCGATCATATTTTCCTATGAAAATAAACATGGAGTATATTCTCTAATTTTCACTATTATGGCATAACAAATTGAATTTATCTTTCTAATACATCAAAATATAGAAAATAAAATATTGTGATTACCATGTTAATCCCAAGAGATAGCCTTTTGATAGTACAAACTTTATTTTTTTATTGATTGTGGGGGCTCCTGATTGAGATATTATCAGTCCATGAAATTGGCTCATATTATAAAATGTATTTTAATTTTTAAATTTATAAACTGAAAATTTTAATAAACATTTATAATGCACAGATGGATGAATGACTTTACTCTTAGAGATATTATATGAAACGAGCATGTACATGAAAAGATTGGAGTAGCTCTTGTGCAAGATAAGATTAGAGAGAGTCGCCTTAGATATTTTGGTCACATAAAACGACGGCCTTTCGATGACTTGGTTAGAAGAGTAGATGCATTGGATTTGGCTTATGTTAAGAATGGTACAGGTAGACCTAAAAATATTTGGTTAGAAAATATTAGAAATGACATTTCTTTATTAGATTTAAATGATAGTTTGACTCTTAACATGACACGATGGAATAATTCGTGTAGCTAACCCCACATAGTGGAATAAAGGCTTGTTGTTGTTGTTCAATTATCAAACTTTATCAAAGAGCATAGTAGACACTAAGCCTTTCCACATGAATTTCACACAATAAAAAAAAATTATTTTGTGATTCGAAAGTACAAAGGAAGATTTTATTTGTAGGCCTTTTTCAAACCTATACAAAATTTTGAAGCTGTTGGAGTCAATAAAATGCTATTATATATCTTGATGACATGTCTTAATATGAAGGGAAATAAAATAAGAGAAAGAAAATAAAAAAATATATCTATTAAATGTATTAATCTTCAACTAAAGTTGGATAAGATGGGTTGAATGATTTTTAAATCAAAAAATTTGTCAAG